AAATCTTTTATCAAAATTCGATGTAACGTTGTTGTTAAGAGCTTCAATTAGGTTTTCATTGTTCTTTGAGGCTGTGTTGACAGGTGAACAAACACCCTCTGTAAATGAACATATATCTCAATTACAGAGTCCAAAATGTAATATATTTTGAAAATGTATTAAAGGTCATGGTAATCTTATATTTCCTTTGTGTCATTTTATAATTATAGAGATAAATTTAAATGTTGACAGTTCTGTCAAAGATTAATATATGAAGACAAATTTTCAATATCGAATATCAAAACATTTCTATATAACAATGTCTCTATCATAAATATTTTCCATATACTGATAAATAATTAAAGAGAAAATAAATGTATTGTCACAGCGAGGTTCACGCTGTACAAGGCCCAAGGGCCACTAGAGGTAGACGGTTAAGTTAGGCGGCAGTTTGAAATGATGGAAGGAAAGATAACGATTAATCTTAGACTTGAACAGGTTAACAATGTAGTGATCAGGCAAACGCCCTCTTTGGGTTGTCAGTATCATAGAGAAGTGGTTCCCGGGAAGAAGCTGTTTGAGTAGAATTTACTTCCCATCGGGTGAATGCGGAGAGCATGTAGGTGGTTTCCTAAAATGTAAATGGCATGGCTGTTCAAACCCGTGAGGTTAGATCTGGCGTAAACAACGGAAGTCGTTCGTCCAAGCACTTCCCGTGAAAGCAGGGATAGAGCAGCGTGAGGCTTGTCACATCTCGCCTGTAATCTTGTAAGTGCGGTCAGGGCAGCTCCCGCCCAAATATGACAAACCCAGTACATTTGTGTCCTGATTTGGCTCTCTTAATTGTAGAGAATAACACGGGGTATAATGTAATATCCCAAATCCTTCAGATTCTTCATTTTAATTATATTATTGCGTTACAAGACAGCCAACTCTAAATGGGAGTCAAAAACTGAAACCATCAGTGTCAAGCAAGTGGATAACCTGGGAACTGCTTCATCATACGATGGTAAACGTGATACATTTCTTCACAGATGAAGAGGAGAATTGAAGAAACAAAGAAGTGATATGATTTGATTTAATTGTTAATGACTCGGACGTGTTAATTGGATAAATGAGTTCTACTTCCAGTTGGATTCGAAAGGTATAAATCCACCTCTCTCCACAGGCATGGTTTAATTACTAAGACATATATAACTAAAAAAAACATTATTATATCGACATAAATTCTTACAATCTGTGTATAGGTGTGTGCTGAGGAGACTTTCACCATGACGGAACAAGTATGGCACAAACATCTGAACGCACATTGGGAACAGCAAATAATGGCTTCCAAAATAAAAAAAATAACGTCGTTAGAAACAAACCGCTCAACGGCTAGATGATCGAACGTTGAACAATTTCTTCACAGATAGATATGAGACTTGAGGTAAGAAGGACATGATTCTACAGAAATAGGCTGAAAATTCCATTGATTTGATATGTGAGCAACGGAAGTTTTATGGATAATATGAAACCAATAATAATTATTCTTCGAATCAGAAAGAAAAATTTGAATTTTCTGAGACGCATGATGAGGAAAAGAACGTGAGGGATATAACACTCAAAAGAACTCATTCAATGTAAGAGGGACAGGGTAAAAAAAGTGCACACTGTAATTAAAGATATTTCCGAAAATCGATGTGAGACTAGGGACAGAGAGAGATAGTAAGGGGATTTACCAAAGATAGGAAGTTACAAAGATTACTATAATTTACCAAGGATAGGAAGTTACAATGTTTGCTTGGAATTACCAAAGACAGGAAGTGGCAAATATTGCTTAAATCTACCAAGGATTGGAACTCATAAAGATTGTTCAAATTTACCAAGGATAGGAATTTATAAAGATGGCTTAAATTTACCGAAGACAGGAAGTTGCAATGTTTCCTTGGATTTATCAATCATATGAAGTTACAAAGTTTAGTTAAATCTACCAAGGGTAAAAGGTAAAAAGATTTCTCAAATTTACCAAAGATAGGAAATTGCAAAAGTTTCCTTGGATTTACCAATGATAAGAAGTTACAAAAATTGTTTGTATTTAACAAGGATAGGAAGTTACAAAGTTTGATTGGATTTACCAAGAATAGAAAGTTACAAAGATTTCTTAGAATTACCAAAGATAGGAAGTTAAAAGATTGCCTAAATTTACCAAATATAGAAAGTTATAAAGATTGCTTAAATTTACCAAAGATAGAAAGTTATAAACATTGCTTAAATTTACCGAGAATAGGAAGTTAAAAAGTTTGCTTGGATTTACCAAGGATAGGAAGTTACAAAGATTGCTTAATTTTACCAAAGACAGGAGGGTGCAAAGTTATTTTGGATTTACCAATAATTGGATGTTACAAATCTGCTTGGAAGCATAGAAAGTTGCAAATTTTGCTTGTATTTACCAAGGCTAGGAAGTTACAAATTTGCTTGGATTTACGAAAGATAGGAAGTTAAAAAGATTGTTGGATTTACCATAGATAGAATGTTACAAAAATTGCTTGTATTTACCAAGGATAGAACGTTGCAAAGTTTGCTTGGGTTTACCAAGGATAGGAAGATGCAAAATTTGCTTGGATTTACCAAGGATAGGAAGTTACAAAAATTTATTTGTATTTACCAAAGATAGGAAGTTATAAAATTCCTTAAATTTACCAAGCATATTAAGTTACAAAGTCTGCTTGGATTTACCAAGGATAGGACGTTGCAAAGTTTGCTTGGGTTTACCAAGTATAGGGAACTACGACCATCCATATTCTGAAGAGTCTGAGTTGATATATATATAACATTTAAACAGCATTAATATTTCCAGATTGGCAGGTGGAAATTATTTGTTTCTTTTCAGCATTAGTGGGGGGCCATACACATCCAAAGCAACTTTCGTTGTAATTATAAAAAATGCTAGGAAAAATCAATTTCATCATTCACGTCCCCGGAAAACGTTAGTGGCTGAATCAGATATTAAATATTTGGGTGGGGAATTAAGTCAGATATTCGTATCCTGTTGTTGCGGGCGGGGTCCAGTGGCCCCGTATCACGGAAAGGGGTGAACGAGGTCACAAGAGGCCCGCTAACATTTTTGAAGACGTTAAATCTGACCGTGAAACAATATGGACGACAGAACGAGGATATATATGATATATAGAGGTTTATTCTAAAAGGAAATGAAGATGGTTGGAAACGGTGGAGGTGCTGGAAGCTGTAAGAGTGAGCTGAATGCTACAAGAGTGCTGGATGCTGCAGGAGTGAGCCGGATGCTGCAGGAGTGAGCCGGATGTTGCAGAAGTGCTGGATACTGCAGGAGTTTTAGTGCAGGCATTGATGGTCGAGGTTGGCAGTTGCTAGGATCATCGTTGTTGGGGGGTTGACGCTGATGTGAGTTGTTGCCAGGATGATCGCTTGGTGGTTGTTGATGTTGAGTGATGCCAGGATGATCTTTGTTGGTTGTTGAAGCTGAGTCGTTGCCGGGGTGCCAACTTGTTTCTGTAGTTCGTGTTGCCAACTCGTTGTTTGTCATTGCCGGGGTGCCAACTTGTTGCAGCAGTTCGTGTTGCCAACGTTGTTTGTCATTGCCTGGATGCCAACTTGACGTGTTGGGAAGGAAGAGAGAGAAAGAAAGAAAGTTCCCAACTATCGTCAAGTTGGCAGACAAAAAGAAATGGGAGCGTAACTTAATACACAGCCCGTAGATAGGCGCCCTTGGCCAATGAAGGCCAAGGTGCCTGTGTAGACGACCGTTGCGGCCGCCGACAGCCTCCTAGAATCTAGGGAGAAATCACTGTCTTGTGTCGAGGGGGACCAGCAAGAGAAATTGGCTAAGCTAACCGAAAAGTCTCTATAGTAAAATACTACAAGGTTAGCTAAAGATAACTATGGTCTAAAAATGACTAGATGTATATTACACCTAGGTTTGTAATATAGCCTAACTAAAAAAGGGGATTTGCTAGTCCCTCTGACGTGTTAACAGTGTGTGAGGAGTATGAATGAGAGGTCAAGGTCGAAAAGACCTGTTCCTCTGCTGGTTCAAGGACAGAAGGAGGAGGTAACTCCGACACTGTCATAAAATGTGTATCTTTGCATCTGTTAGCCATCTGCAAACTCTTTTGATTGGATTCTAAATAAACGTTTCGTTGTTCGATTATACTTATTTTCTGGAATGTGACATAGAAAACATTTCCGCAAACATATTGACGTTTTCAAAGTTAATGTTTCGAAAACAAAAGAGGAAATGAAAGGTTAATTTTTCTCATTTATTTTGAAAATTAATTGCATTAATGACTTTAGACAAAGGATACAGCTGAGCATTGTGATAGATTATGTTTCTTTTTTTTTCTATCAAGAATTGAGCTGATGCCTGGGGTCAGTCTGGCTTTTGTTCTAAGCCTGGGAGAAGAAGGAGTAATGATGAAAAAGCAGTGAAAAAGAAGAGAGAAATTATTAGAATATCGACGAGTGGAAAGAGAAGGAAAGAAGGAACGAAGAAAAGTAGGAAGAAACAAAAGAAGGAAATAAAAATCCATGATAAGAAGAAACTGAATGAAGGAACGATTATTCATTCAGTTATGTGCCATGATTGATACACGCTTAGGCGATCATGTATCTTCCCATACATGATTGACGTGGCAGATTTTTTCCCGCAGTTGGTGGCCATTTCTTTCTGAGGAAGACTAGTTGCCATCCAAGGCTATATAAACAAGTCTGTCCTGTTATTTACCCATAGTTTGGGGGAGAATAACAGAATACATAACTTTCCCAAGGGTATTAGCACATAAGTGAATGTAATGGATTCGACTGGAATTCTAACTCGGCTCTCCGATTCCTCAATCCGAACGGCTCCAATAAGAGGATTCATACCATTCCCAAGGGTATTACCGCGTAAGTGAATGTAATGGATTCGGCTGGAATTCGAACTCGTCTCTGATTTCTCAATCCGACCCGCTATCGATGAAAAATTAAAACCCAAAATCGCAAATAAGAAAAATATAGTGGAATACATGGATGGCAAGTAATGATGGAATAAGAAAGGAAGAAGAAAAGAAGAAGAAGAAGAAGAAGAAGAAGAAGAAGAAGAAGAAGAAGAAGAAGAAGAATATAAGAGAGGGAAACAATAGATAGAAAGGGAATGAGAAAGACAAAAGCAATTCAAACGAAGGAAATAGAAATAAAAAAAGAACAACAAGAATGACTTCTATTAATCGTGAGGAATGAATGAATGAATTATCATAAAAAAATTTCAAATAAAAATGAAATGAAAACGGACATGGTTTAATTTAAATAAATGAAACGGTAAGGAAAATGACATTAAAATGATTGTGTTCCCTTACTAATTACCGCTGATGAGAAGCAATTAAAAGGTCGACTGAAACATTGTATTAAACAGAGTGACAAAAGTTAAGGATATCGTACACATTAGTAACACCATCTCAGATTTAGAAAATATACTTTAATTCATGTCGAAAGATATTCGAACATATCAATTGCGTTAAAATCATAGCAGGTTTAATGTTGGTAGATAAATATTTACTAAGGTTCACTTGATCTAACCCAGGAAGGTATTCAGTTAGCATTAACCTCTTTAAATGAGTGAATATTTTGCGATATTAAGCCAGCTGATTTCACACGAAAGCGGGCTTTTTTCTCGCTGAAGCTCTACCAAAATAATATATATATATATATATATATATATATATATATATATATATATATATATATATATATATATGCACGCTAACATATGACGTTTTTCACCCTCTTGTCGAGTATAACCATCACAAGAAATATCTATAAGTCCTAGTTACGTGTTGGAAGGATGTGACCCCCTATACCGGAAGAACTTTTAAAATCTCTACCACAAACTTAGTAGATATGACAAACATATTTTGATGTTATTATAGCTATTTTTTCTGGTTGTCTATATTTTTGAGACGATGTATTTTAGTTATTTATACTATTCACATAGTTCGAACTGTTGTCCTCATCTTTGTAACCAACTTCTGGATATAGTAATAAAGATGGAAACAATAGTCCGAACAATATAAATAGTATAAATAGTTACAACTAGCAGTAGAGCCCGGCGTTGCCCGGGGATATAACAGTAAGAGATAGATCAAGTATCCACCATCATAAAGACTGAAAAATAAAATAGATAAAGATTATTGTTTAAGTTTGACGGACACGCATGTCTTAATTAGTTTTGTTTTTTTTTTACGAATTGGTCAAACCCAAACTCAAACAAAAACATTGTTTTCAATCGTTATGAGTCTCCCGATTGAATAGAATAATTTTATAAACAATTGTCTTGTAAATGAATTTTTAAAGCATTCTGAATGTAAAAAATGTTTTAAAAAGTGTGCAAGACAATTAGAAACACTACATGCCAAAAAAAAAAATGAAGTTTTGTTGAAATCGGTTGAAAAATGTAGGTGGCCTTTCTGTAATCTTTTTATTTTTTACAATTTATGATTTTTACTTATTGAATACAGTAAAAAAAAATTGCATATTTTGCTCTTGGGTGATTCATAATTAGAATTCTTATTTGAATATATTTTCCACTCGTTGTTTCTAATACAAAAAATATTAACTTTATTTGGGTTTATTAATTATGATCTAACAAATCTTATTCATTTAGTAGCCTTTCTGTAATAATAATCTTTTACAATTTATGATTTTTACTTATTGAATACAGTAAAAAAAATTGGACACCATGTTTATTTAAAGTAGTTCCCCGTTCCGGTTATTATTTTTAGTTAGGATTTGTGTATGTTTAGATTTCATTATCTTTCCCTAAAGATAAAGAATTTATTCCGATGTTTGTATTCGTACAATCAGTAGAGATCGTTAGATTATTGTTTAAGGTTGACGGACACGCATGTCTTAATTAGTTTTTTTTTTTTTTTTTTTTACGAATTGGTCAAACCCAAACTCAAATAAAAAACATTGTTTTCAATCGTTATGAGTCTCCCAATTGAAAAGGAATTTTATTAAAAATAATTGTCTTGTAAATGGAATTTTTAAAGCATTCTGAATGTAAAAATAAAGAAAAAAGTGTGCAAGACAATTAGAAACACTACATGCCAAAAAAAAAAGTGAAGTCTTGTTTTATCAGCTGAAAAATATAGGAAATCCGATGAGAGTTGCCCCCCTTCTATTTTCACGAAGTCACTTAATCGTGTTTTCAAATTGATTTTGTGTAAAAACAATTATATTTTTCACATTTTTTTGGCGCTGTTAGAACCACCACAAGGTAATTTTATGTAGTCCTGTCAAGTTTTGTTGAAATCGGTTGAAAAATGTAGGAAATCCGATCCAATATATAAACGTCACACACACACACACACACACACACACACACACACACACACACACACACACACAATCTGCGTTTTATAATAAGTAAGATACCTCATCTCAGAGATATAGACAGATCCTGAAGAATGTCAGAGTGTACAATGGTCGAAACGTTGTGAATGTGATAAAAAAAGATGGGAACAATTGTTTGAATAATGTAAATAGTATAATTACAATACTTCATTTCAGAAATATACACAAATCATAAAGAAGGCCGGAGAATTTCCGAACATGGTAAATAGTGTAAATGGTTAAAATACCTCATCTCAGAAATGTAGACAATACCTGAAGAAGGTAGGAGAGTACAACGATGGAAACGTCGTGAATATGGCAATCAAGATGAGGACAACAGTCCGAACAATTTAAATAGTGTAATTAATTAAAATACCTCATCTCAGAAGTAGCCACAGATTTTGAAGGTTAATATGGTGTGGCACCATTTACGAGGCAGAGAAAGAAAGAGAAAGAAAGGAAGGCAGAAAGAAAGGCGAGACGAATCGTAGGTGATAAAACAGCCACACACATGGCCTAAGAGACAATTAAAATATTGATAAGTAACAAGTGAAACAGTGTGTCATTACAATGACAGGGAATTTCTGAGTAAAAAAAGAAAAGAAAAAGAAAGAAGGAACCAGATGTGTTTTGATAACGGCTATGTTATCTGGGGTGCGTAAACAAATGGCTGGACCACTGCCCAGGAAAAAATTCAAATGAAAATGTTATTTCGATAAGTAACGAAAAACAGGTCACTAAAAAGGACTTTGGACAGATATGAAAAATTAAATGCCACCCAAGCAGTGCAGCTGACTGAATTTTTTTCGACGAAACAACTTTGCCCTGCGATAATAAAATTATGTTATCAGACATATGTACCGAAGGAAAATGAATGGGAACCAGAAGTGTTTTTATTTTTCCTTGGAGGCGACAGACTGACTGAAAATTTTGGGGATATTTCTTTTCTGAACCCATGTTCGAAAACCAACCATCTTGATAAATTAGCGAAAAACTACCTGACAAAACCACGTGTAAAAACAAGAGATGTCATATTGTCCGTTCGTGTCTAGAGAAATGATAACGGCGATTTGAAAGGAAGAAAAGGAAAGAGAAGAGATAATTAATTTTTTTTTTTAGTTAAGCAAGATATTTTTTTTTCCCGAAACAAAGCCACGGATTGTTCACGCCCGACTAAGACATCATTGGTCAACTGGTGATCACGTGACGCACGAAGAAGGCTGTCGACGCCCCATCCAGAGTATAAGTATGAGAAGCTGCTACGAAGAAGTGGGGAGGGTAGTTCACGCCCCCAGAGAGGTATGGTGAGAAAGTGGGAGTGAGAAGGGTTACCAAAAAATGGAAAAGAGTGGAAAATCCCTAACCAGAAATAAAAAGAGGTGGATATGTATTTAGAATTATCGAGGAACCCCCGACGCCAACAGACCCAACCTGGTTTTTTGTCGGCGTCAATAAAAGCGAGACCCCCAACAGGCAGAAAACAGACAAGGGCCCTGGCGGCAGAGTTGAGTTTTCCAGATGAGTCAGTTGAAGCCGCCTCAAGATAGCTGACCAAGATTCACGCAAATTCCGGACTCCTCTTCAACCCAAGAACAATTATTTTGAAGAGCGACTTAGAACCAGACCACAGAAATAAGTTTTTTCGACTTTCGTCCAAAGACACACCGAAAAACCAATTTCTTAGAGAGCAAACAACTTGAAGCGTTAAAACTTGCCTAGCGGAAAACGACGTGTCACAATCCACAGAACGGGTCGGGAGTTAGATGCAGTCCTATGTATCGAACAACTAGACATAAAAGTTTGTTACCTTTTTCTTTGATACTTTGAACTTTTGAGTTTTCATTTTATTTTCTTTTTGCATATTTGTGTGTTATCACCCCCGTTGAACTCAGTTTGCATTACGGCCCCAACCACTGTTTGATCTCGTCTGTCTAAGATCAATTCACAACGTGGGTAGGCAGACTGGAGATCAATGCAGTTACCTTGGTAACCAGGCGTTGGAAGCGAGTTGGGAACGACGAGGCTGATATCAAATCTAACCAGATTCCCACCCGAATCACCAAAAGGTTAGAACGTCACATTTGGGTGCCGCGACCGATACCAAGCCAGTTGGTCGTCACAGGACGAGACAACACGACTGACGCGACAGGCGGACGTCACGTTTGGAGCAGCGACACCCGGAACGGAGCAGCGAGGAGCGAACAGCTGGCGCCGCGGCGAGGACGTCACAATTGGTGCTGTTTGGGGACGTCACAACTGGCGCCGTGGTAGATCAGGATAGAACGTCACAGTTGGCGCTGCGACCGGGGGACGACGTCACAATGGCAACAAAGATGACGACAATAGCCCGAACAATGGAAATAATGTAAATAGTTACAATACCCCATCTCAGAAATAGAGATAGATGTTGAAGGTGAATATGACAATAAAGATGAGGACAACAGTCCGAACAATGTAAATAATGTAAATAATTACAATACCTTATCTCAGAAATAGAGAAAGCCATTAAATATCGGTACGGTTCCGATAAACCAAAATATGTAAACACTTGGAAAAGTCCCATCTGATATTCCTACACCGATACAAAGACTTGCCATTCATCCCTTCAAGTTTGTCCACAAGATTTCCAGTCAGTTCAAGGAGAGCCCGTCTGGACGCAGAATAATCGGTACATGCCCTCGTCCTAGAAAGAATCTAGTACAACCCTTGGATAAAACGAAAACTGCAGTCAGATATATCCCCGAATTACCGATGAAGTAGACCGAAAACGGAGCCAGATTGATCTGGACAAATCCTTCAGACACAAATTTGAAGCATTCAAGGCCATCC